CATTACAAGTAGTCAGTTGACGAGGGTTAACAGAGCCCTGATACCATGACTGGCCTTCCCCAAGTACTGGCAAGAGCACACACAGCCAGCAGGCCAATTTGAACCTCTTCCTCAGGAGCTTCACTACCTCATGTGGAGGTGCCAGGAAGCAAGGAAATATAACAACAAGATCCTTTCAGTTCTCACGGACACATGGCCTGTGATGGGTGGTATTTCAGATGGGGCCTGTCAGGGGAGGCATTTCTATGGAGCTGATCTATGAGTTGAGAATGAAATACTGAGCAGTCTTGTGAAGAATGGGGAAAGCATCCCACCTGGGAGGGACAATTAAGATCAAGGGCTGGAGCTGGGGAGAATTGGCTGGAAATGAGCTCAGAGAGTTCAAGCAGAGGCCAGGAGGCCATGAGGCTGGAGTAAGGTGGGTCAGAGGTTGTTTCAGAGTGGGGGTCACTGAGGGCAGGAGGGGACAGATCAGGGAAAAGGGGAGCCTTGGCCTCTACTCTGTCCTAGGAGGAGATGACTAACAGGCTTCTGCAGTCCCTGCTGTTGCTCTCAGGGAGTTAGGTGAAGTATGCCTAAGAATATCTTCAGTGCAATGGGTAGTAAAGTCAACAAATCATAGAGTCAGATGACATATATTCAGACACCCATGTTCAAAATTTTAACAATGGGGTCTTGAGCATCTTACATGAATTGAGCTATTTTTTTCTCATCTGTAAAAGGGAAATAGCAGTAACCCACTCTTCAGGGTGAGGTTAAATACACTATGAATTCTAAAGATTAACATGGTGCAATGTACCATAGATACCAGCTGTGATTATTGGCTATGTCTTATGGAATATGTGCACAGTTAAGATGGTTTCTTGAGGAAGGTATGCTCCTGATTTCTTTGGAATGATGGTAGCAGAGAAACATCTTATTGTGTCCCAGGCTCTGTGCTTGCTGATCTCATTATATCCTCAGGATTCTCGGGTAAGAACTCTGCTGATCCCACTTTTCAGATGAAAGTAGTGATGCTCAGAGATATCAGCTGACTTTCTAATAATCCCATGGCTGGCAGCTGGTAGAGCCAGAGCTGAAGGGACAGATATGTCCACCTCTGGAGCCTACAATCATGGACACTTTGGTAAATGGTCTCTAGGAATTCTCTCTCTACTTTAAGATCCCCCAGCTCTTCCTAACCCATGTGGCACACTCCTCCCTGTTCCCAATCCCTGAGAACCACTCAAGCGTTTGTCTTTCCTGCTTCTTTCCTTAAAGGCCTATGGCAAATTCCACTGTTTCTAAAGCATCCTACAGAGCATCAAGGCCACGTGCATTTATCATCCCTCTAAACCATCACTGCTGTCCTCATCCCAGGAACCAACCCATCTCCCAGATGCATTGGCCAAGGCTGAGACAGGGCCAGTCCAGTGGTAGTGTGGTACCAGTCCTGAGAGCTGAGGGTTCTGACTCAATCCCATTTTCTGATGGAACACCATGCTGGTTCCTGGGGACTTGGCTAGAGTAGATGATTCCCAAACCTAATTTGATTGAATAAAATTGGGACAGAGATGGATTTCTGACCTCAAACAGAAGAATATAGCATCCTGGACTCTCAGTTCCAGAATTTATCTGCAAGTGTTAATTCATCAGATGAGGGTCCTTGTGTAATGGCCAGGGCTGGGTTGAGCCAGGCCTCCAGGAAACCCAGCCCAGCTCTGCAATGTGGGAGTCTGCTACACAGTCACAAACCATTACGACATCTCTTGGCCAGCCAAGCTCCCTTCCCTTCCCTCCCTGCAGCCAATGCTTCCACCCAACAGTCACCTCAAGCACCGCAGGAGCTCTCACCTCCCCTCCTGGCCCCCACCCTGCTGCCATCTGCCAGGCCGTGCACTGGCCTCTCTGTGCCCAGGAGTGGGCACTGCGCCATGGCAGCACACGGACCTGCATGCCGGGTGGCCAGGAGAGCATGTGTAAGCCCTGCGTGTGCATGAGGCTGTCACGCAGGCAGGCTCCTTGGGCGGGGGGGGTGGTGGCCATGTGGCATGATTGGCAGGTGGGTTGGGGTGCGGAGGCCTGGGAGGGAAAGCAGGCAGGGTACAAACTTCTGCAAGCTGCCAGAGTGGACCCCCCACCTGTGTGGAGGTGGGAGGAGTGGGTAGCTGGGCTGAGAGAATAATGCAGCATCCTCTGCTGCTGCTGAGTCAGCTCTGAACAACACCGAGGGGTTAGGAGCCCTCTGCCACTTTGGGGAAGAGTAGTCCCATCCTAAAGCACTTCCTGCATGACAGGTTCTATGACAAACACTGTCCTGGATGGCTCCAAATCCTCACCACCACCCCATGAGGCAGAGACTATTATCCTCACTTGGTAGAATGAAACTCACTGCCCACACTGGCCCTGTTCATAAGTGCTAAATGGAGCACTCAAACCCAAGTCCACCTGACTCCAAATGCCCAGTACTCCACTCCTCTCCCTCAGGAGGCTCCTGCTGGTGCCCTGTGTCTGTGTTTTCTTATGTGACATCTGTGGAACACTGACTGTTTGCTTGAATGTGCTTGGTGTTAATAAGAGATGGCTTTCCAGCTGCTTCCTGTCCCACTGGGAGAGTCTGACAGGAAGGAGGGACCAAGCAAAACCATCAGTCCAAAGTCCCTCACCAGATCAGCTAAGAGGACTTGAAATCTACCAGTGCCAAGGACCCTCCCTGGTTCCCTAGTTCCTGTCTTCTGGAGAGGCTGCTGTAATATGGGCTGCTGACAGGTTCATGGGTAATTACAATGATCAGTCAACAGTGAGAGCCCCTGGGGTGGGGCATCCATGTAGTAATGCTCAAAGGAAGAAACCATTCATGGAGGTTGGTGTGGTCAGGAAGGCTTCCCAGTGGAGGAGACAGCAAGTGGGTGTGTGTTGGAGAGGGGTCATGAGTGAGAAGGGGAGGGTATTTCATGTGAAGGATGAAATCTCAGGGCAGATGTAGCCCCTGGGCATTTGGGGATGGACATATCACATGACAAGCATCCTTGGAGACGAGGCTGCTAGAGTTTGTATTTTAAGTATTCTTCAAAGTTCTGGGTGGTAAAGATTTAGTCCCCAGCATAGTACTATGGGAGATGGTAGACATTTTTAGAGGTGGGGCCTAGTGGGAGGTCATTAGGGATGTGCTCTTGAAGGGGATGCTGGGACCCTGACCTCTTCCTCTTCCTCCCTTTTGCTTCCCAGTGTGAAGTAAGAGGTTTTGCTCTGCACGTGTTCCCACCATGACATGCTTCCTTTACAGGCCCAAAGCAACAGGGCCAATCAGTCATGGACCACAACTTCTGAAGCCAAGTCAAAATAACCCTTTTCTCTTCATCAGTCAATTATCTGAGGTATTTATTACATTGACAGTGAGTGGAGTAACACAAAGGTTAAAAAGAAGGAGACCCGAGGAGTTCCACTGAGCAACAAACATTTGTTGAGTGCCTACTTTGTGCTGTGTACTGTTTCAGACACAGAGGATGCTGCCGTAGATAGACAGCCGGGAATGATGCATCAGTGGGTGTAAATGAGTGGAAACAAGGAGGGAGGTGATGGTGGTACAGAGCTGGGCAAGTCCCTTAGAGCAAGGACTTGGATGGGATGGAGAGAAGCCGACTACCCGGAGAAAGAAAGGTCACGGCACACAGAGGAGCGGCAGGTGCAAAGATTCCACCCTGAGGCAGCAGGTTGTTCGTCGTTCCTGGAACACCACCAACTGTAGGGTGGCCAGGGAAGGTGAGCAGGGGCATATGGTGGGCAGGACCATGGCAGGGGCCTGTGTGGCATTCAGATGGAATTCAAAGACCGACTTCAGGATCTGGCTCTGTGTGCAGTTGAGGGAGGACCCGGACTGGAGAACAGCTGCCCCCCAGCTCTTCTCTAGAGATTCTCATGACACTGTCTCTCCCACCCTCCAGCAGGAATCTGGTGATGTTCTCCCCCTCAGCTCCTCTTGAGCTCCCACACTGTCCTTGCCTCTCCAGTGCCTCATTTCAAACTCCATCTTGCCCTCCCTTTCCATGGAGAGGCTTCCCCTGCTCATACAAGTCCCACCCAGTGCCCACCCTAAATCAAGTTGGTGCCCTGCCCCAGGCTGTCCTTGGGCTGCTCAGTGCTAGGACCCAAGCTCCCTGGCCAGCTTTCCTTCACTTTCTTCCTCTGCTTGATGCCGCAAGTTCCTGAGAAGATGAGGCCCCAGTGGTGGCTTTGTTCCTCAGGAACGCAAATTTGAGTGATTTGTCTCTTTTACACTCACAATTACTATACAATTGGCCTGATGCAGCAGCATTAAGAAACTTAATGTTTTTAAGTAAAAGTTAATTGATTGAAATTAGGCAGACAGCAACAGCTGCAGAATGGCAGAGAAAGAAGCACTTATTTAACAGATGAAGCCCCAGTTAGACTGAGTATGGCTGCACACATTACTCAGCTGAGAATAGGAGAGTGGTGTATGTGCTGGGTTTGTGTGTGATGTCCATGTTCTGTGAGTGGTGTGTGTGTGTGGTATATGAGTGTGCACATACAGCGTGTGCATCTGTGTGTGTGCACATGTGAATGCATACTAATGCTTGTGGTGTAAACATCCATGATACACATGGGTAGTATGTACTACGTGTTGTGTGTGCAGTGGTGTATGTGCTATGATATGTGTGGTAGTGTTGATGTCTATATGATCTGTATTATGTATTATATGCATGTGTTGTGTGTATAGTGTTTGTGCTGTGTGTGTGACATGTATGGTGTGTTATATGTGTGTGATGTACATATGTGCATGTATGGCAGGAGGAGTAGGAGTCCAGATTTCTCAGCCCTCAGAGTCTAGAGGTCATTTGGGCATGGCTGCCTATGTGTAGACATGTTCCTTCTGTCCCATTCCTCAAGAGCTTTTGAATAGAATGTTTTAAATGTCCAAACTCCAAGACATTGAATGATCTTTCCCACCAAAGCAGCAGGTCAAGGAGGAGGACCACTAGAGAGCAAGACAAATGCCCCATTATAATTACCCCCTTTGGAAGTTCAGGTTTTAGCCAAATCTGCACTGTGACCCTAATTTGGTGATCAGAAAGCAGGCATTATCAGGATTGGGTGCGTGGGGGCCCTGACTGAAGAGTTTGCTGTTTCTGCTGTGATGAGTGCAAAGGACTCCTTAGAGATGAGCAGGAAGGCACTCACGCTTCTGGGCCAAGGTGCAGGAGACAGCTGGCCCCTCCTGTGCAGAAGAAATAGACTCATTAGGGTAGGTAGATAATACTGCCCAAGACTGATTCAGCGTTTCCGCATGCATTAATACATTCCTTCCTTTTGTCCCTACATATTAAAATAAATCACAAAAGGTATTTACATAGTGAATCCCTTTTCAAATATTTTCCTTCAATCAAACCAAGGCCAGTTCCACAGACAGTGAATTAATTACATGTAGGTTCCTTATGAACTCAAGCTTTCACTGTGCTGTTTCCGGATCTTCCTTGTCTTTCCAGACAATTCCTCTGCTTTCCTTACAAATCCTATGCTTTATGCACCCTGGCTGCCTTTCTGCTCTTAACACACCAAAGCTTTTAGCCTGCCTTTGATTGGATCCTTCTGTGCAGACTTCAGAATATATGACCATGCTGATTTCAGCCCAAATTTCACTTCCTGACAGAGCCTTCCATATCACCTTAACTAAATCAGTACCCTCCCCTCAGTATTGCACCCCAATATCCTGAATGACTCCCTTCTTAGCACTGGCCACTAGCTGCTCAGAATTGTCACCTTTGTATTGATGCCCTGCCTGCTGTCACCTGGGACAGGGGTCAGCTAACTACAGCCTTTGGACCAAATCCAGTCCAATGCCTGTTTTTGAGGGTGCAAGAGGTGGAAATGCTTTTTGCATTTTAATTGTTGGAAAAAGAAAACTAATATTTTGTGACATGAGAATTGTATACTATTTGGATTTCAGGGTTCAAAAATACAGTTTTATGGGAGCACAGCCACCCTCTTTCACTTCTGTGTTATCTGTGGCTGCTTTCACACTACAGTGGCAGCATTGAACGGGTGTGGTAAGACTATAGAGACTGAAATATTTATTTTAAAAATATTAAAAATTTTTTTAAAATTTGCCTTTATAGATTTTTTTTCTTTCTGGGCTCTGGTCTAGAATGAAAGGAATAAGAAGCAGAGATCGATATGATTTGCCCAAGTCTTTGCATGGTAAGATTTTGTGGAAGGCGCTTGCTTTTGCTGAACCGATTCTTAGCTTGTCCTTCAGCAGTCAGCTCTGCAGTAGTCTCTACTCCCAGAAGTGCCCCCCAACCTTGACTCCCACCCCCACGCTGAGGTGAGCCTGTCTCCTAGGGCTCCCCTAGGATCTTGGGCTGCACATGGCGTACCACTTGATAATAACAACAGCAGCTGACATTTGTTGAGTCTTTGCTGCCAGAGCACCACAGTTTTTGTTTGCATTTCCTTTATCCTCACCCACATCCCAGAGAAGTAGCCACTATAAGATCTGACTCACAGATGAGGGAGCTGAGGCACGTGGGTCACCACGGGAGGTCACACGACTTTTAGGCAACAAAGAGAAACAGGAACATGGGTAGTCTGACCCCAATGCCCACCCTGGGTCTGCTGCCATCAGTTTGTTCCTTCCTCTGTCTGCCCACTCAGAGAGCAGATCCATGGGAGTGGTGCTATGTACAGTTCATTTCTGTATCCTGAGGCCCAATCTTGCAGGGGTCCAAAAACCATTTTGTGGAGCGAATCCATTTCTGCTGTACCAGAGAATATTTGGCCTAATTCACCATGCACATCTCTATTGTTCTTTCTCTGCCCCTCTCCCATTCATATAAGCGTTGATTCAAATATTTCTTTCCTGTGAGGGTAGACAGATCAATGCTAATAATAATCTTCACTGGACACATGGGGAAACTGAGACTCAGAGGAGTTAAGGGAGATGCCAGGAGCCACAAAGAGGCTGTGTCAGGATCAGAACTCAGGAGCAGAGCCTGCAAGTTTTACCAGACCCAGGTCTTTGATCAGTGGACAGAGAAATACTCTTACTGGCAAGGGGAGCAAGGAATGTGTTGTCCTGTGAGGCTCTTTGTTACCAAGGATTAACCCCGCCCCCGCACCCCGGGCAGTTTGGTCGTGAGGCCCTTGATGGTGATTTTGCCTGACAGGTACTACCCAGGCACACACTGCAAGATTGTAGTCAAGCGCCAGCCGGCCTGCCCATTCCTCCGTCTCCCTCCCTCTTTCCGTACTCTCGCTCCTGCCTCCAAGGGCACCGGCTTCCTGACCAGCCAGCCATGCTCTAAAGCACACACAGGGTAGGAAATGAAAACCCCGGGAAGAGCAGATGATGCGGGTGGGAGGTGGAGGTGCCTCCGCTCTGTGCGATCTGCTCAGCTCCCCAGGCTGGCGAGAAAAACTTAAAGCATTATTTACTCAACCATGTGCGAGTTAAAACCAATATCTGCCCGCCATCTGTTCAGCCGAGTGACCCCTCAGAACTTCACCCCCTGTGACATCAGCGTCATTCCTTCCCATGCCTCTGCTGCTCCCTGGCTCTGCCGCTCTCCCAGGAAGCCAGGAGGGGACAGGGAGGGGAGACGCCAGACCACAGCAGGGAGGGCTTACACTCGGCGTTTGGCACTCCAGGCTACTTTTGCCTTATGAAGCTTCTATCACACTCCTTGGGGATCGTGGGGAGCCCCATATCCTCCCACTTTCACTTCAGGCAACCCTGACCCTGCTACCAGTTAATGGCGTGACTGACCTTGGGCACTTCGCTTCTCAGCTCTGGGTCTTAGTTTTTATGTACGGGTGGTACATGGATCACCATTCTTCAAGGTCCCTTTGAGCCACAGTGTCTCCCCAGTCCTCCTTAGGCTGTGCACCCCATTTCAGACTCATGGTTCTCACACCAGGAAATTGCCCTGCTCTCCTCCTCCAAGGAGGCTCTATTTTCTGCTGTCCCCATTTATCCATATCTGCCAGGAAGACTCCCTGCCATGATGCCTTCCTGTTACCTGGCAACCATATCCCCACACAGGGCTCTGGGAGCCTGCTGGCAGTGCTATCCCACACACACACACACACACACACACACACACACACACACACGTTGGGGTAGCGAAAGGAGAGACTTGAGTAACAAAGAACCATGCCTGCTGGGCAGCACTCAGCAAGGAATACACAGGAAAAGGGTCACAGTGCGAAGAGTGCTTAGGCTGAGAATAAGGACAGCTGAGTCCCAGGGCTGATCTGATGCCATAGTTCTGTGTGCCTTTATATAAATTCTTACCCACTCTGAGAGGCAAAGCACTGGACTCAGAGATTGTACAGTTCCACAATCCAATTCTTGGTGTAATAAAAGATCTGGGTCCTGGCACCTTGCAGAAGATCTGGAATAGTTCTGTGGCTCTATCTTGTTTTCTGGGCGCACTCAGGAATCAAGGCCAATTAGCGAGTGGCCTGTTGCCCTCACATAATGGAGTGTAGGTACAGCATCACTCCTGAGGACTGATTGCGTGCAGCTCCCCACCTGTGTTCAGTGAGGTTGGAAGCTGGGCCCTAGGTTGGTCATAGTGGGTGTATTTACTCCATGGAAGCTGGCAAATGTTACAAAGCAAAGCTTATTATTGTTAGTTATTATTATTTTTGCAAGCTGGTTTTTACACATTTGTAATCACACATACTGCCTTCAGCCCCTTTGGGGCTGCCCCTAGGGCAGAACTTCCTTTGCTCCCCAGTTTTCCCCACCGTGTCCTGCCCACCTGCCTGCCTGGCATTGCCACCAGGTAGGCTTCCAAGAGCGGGTCCTTGCTTTTAAGCCCTGCCTGCCAGAAGTCAGTCCGGAATGAATGGCGCAAAGGCTACATCATTTATGTACTATTAGGAAGACTCGTCAATATAGAGGTGTTAAAATATGTAAATAGCATAAACACTCACCGCATCCTAATTACTGTTTTGCATTATCAAGTCATTTACTCTTTATGGCATTCTGCGACTGTTCAGCTGTGTCAGCGAACACTTAGCAAACCTCCTACCTCGGCTGATGAAGAGGTGGAGCCCTCCCTGCTCCTGCGTGGGGAGGAGGCGGGGCGACGAGGCATAACAAAGCCTGTGTTCCAGGTGCCTCCACTGCCGTGGAGGAAGACACCCATTGTTGGGGGTGCTTTTGTGTGAACAACATATGTTCCCGCTTCCTGGCATTTTCCCCATCGTTCTTAAATCCCGCTTCTCACTGAGGCAGATTTATATGCAGGCTAACGAGAGCTGACATTTCGTGTGCTGGTTGCTACACTCCCTGCATTGATTTAAAACAGTACAGTGTCAACCCATCACCAACACGGTTCCTCGAACTCTTCTTTAAAGCACCGAAACAGTCTCTGTTAGAGAAGCCATCTGCTCCGTATACCACCAGGCTTTGGGCTTAGCAGTCTAGACCCTAAAACTGGATTGTGCCTCCTTTTGGGCTCTCTTCCCAACTCCGAGGGAAGTTTCCTGCTGGTTCACAAGGATTTGATTTGATGGCCACTGTTTTCTTTAAGGAGTTCCTTGAAACCAGAGATCCCTTGCAGGTGGCAAACAAATCAGTTCTTAGATAGATTTTTGGGGGAGGGGATGTAGCTCAGTAGTAGAGCACTTGCCTAATATGCAGGAGGCCCTGGGTTCAATATTAGCACTGCAAGAAAGAAAACCTAAAAAAAAAAGACGTAATTTGTTTGGCTCTTGTAGTGTTAAAATGATTTTATTTGTCATTTTGAAAAAGATGAGGACACTTCACATAGAAATTCAGATTTCTGGGTTCTCTGAAAAGAATATAAAGAGCTGACAATGGCTGCTGGGCATCACTGCCTGAGAATCATCAGCAGAGTGAACCTAGCAGGATGGGTCAGTGTAGAGCTTCTGGCTCCAGACGGCCTGGGTTGGAAGCCGAGCTCCATGGCTTCCTTGGTTTGTGACTTTGGTCATTTACTTAGCCTCTCTCTGTGTTTCAGTGTTTTCATCTACAAGACAGTAGAATAGTCCCAATTCATCCAGTTAGAAGCACTCTGAACAGTGCTTGGCACTTCTGAAGTGCTGTGCAAGATTTATTCATTATGACTAAAACCTGCTGCCTTTCCATGGGGCTTGTGCTTGTCCTGTGTTAGGGACCTAGAACTTTCCAGGGTCAAGACATGACCTGGCCACTGAGCTGCTGTGGGTGTGATGAAGCTACTGGCCAGGTGCAGTAGTGAAGAGGAACAGGTGGGGTCCTATTCTCCATAGCCGCAGGAGGGTGGGGAGTGGAAGTAGCATTCTAGAGTGCATCTCACATTTTTACCATCAGCTTCTTACATCCATCAAAGTCCAGTGTATTTCCCCAAATGATAGGTTCGCAGAGTGAATAATTCTGCATTGGAGATTAAATATCTGGTGCTGAAGAAGGGAACAGAGAGGTGAATGGAAACAATTTCCATTAAAATGGAGTTGGGAGACAAAAGGCACACCGAGAACTATTTTGAGCCTGAGGCAGATGACACAGGATTCAAAATTTAATGAGCCTTAAATGCCATTGGATGAATTTACCTGGAGACGCACAGTTACATCAGACAGGGCCCACACAGTTGCATGCTTTCCCATAATATGCAATTTTTTAAAAAGGCTCCTCAGAACTAACAAGATAAGGCTCAATCGAATGAGGGAGTCATAACTGTTGGTGGCAAAAGCATGTTTCAGCAGTGCAGAGAGAGGTAGCTCAGCTTACATGAGTTCTGGAATGTGAGCTGTGACTCACTCAGGGACTGGGGACACAGACCACATTGTTTGCCTGAATTTCTCTGTTTCTTGGGCTTCTGGAGCAGTTGCAAATGCCCTTCAGTGTGTCTCCTGCTTCCCAGGTCTCCTGTCTCCTCTCCAAGGGCTCAGTGGGCTGCCACCTTTAGCTGCTCAGCAGGGTGGGTTTTGTCAGGTGTCTGAGACAGTTGTGTCTCCCTGCAGGGTGCTAGTGTGTGGCTGGGCTCAGGAAAAGGGCTGCATTTGTCTGCAGTGTAAAGAAGGGTTCAAAGTCATTGTGCAGCTGAGGCCTGTAGCTTTTGACAAGGCCAGGGAGTTTGAAAAAATAAATGAAGCCCCTTCTGGTTGTGAAGCACCCAGGGATTAGGAAACAGGAGTCCCATAGTACTGTGAGGTGCTGTGGGGCCTTTCTGGCCTCCCTTGCAAGACTCAGGTAGCTTTCCCAGTGGATTAGGATCGTAGTTCATTTTAACAGACATTTGAAGATCAGGGTTTCTCCTGAGTCAGTTGCAGCAAGAAAGTGACACAGGTGCTAGGGAATATAGAATCCCTCCTCCTCTTGCAAGCTCTACACTCTGCCATATCCCAACAGATCAATACTGTGTATGCTTGATCATGCAAATACATGCTCCCCAACTTTCATTCTCATGCCATGGTCCTTATTTTTCCTACACCTCCCCCGGAGTCAGTGTTTACTTCATTTAGCACATTGAAACCCCTACGCCAGCCTCCACTCAAGAAATGACAACTGCAAAATCACAGGTTTTTCTACTACATAAATCAAAACATAATTATCAATGTGGGAAATATTTCCCTGCTTCCCACCTAACATCACCTCGTGAATAGTAAGTGACAGAGGTGTGATGCTTTTACAGGAAGTGGGACCAACTTGTTATGGCACAAAGCTTGGAGGGATGGTCCCACAAGATTTATAGCTGGGTGATACATTTTTATTCCCCCTCCAAAGGCCTGATTGGCCCCTCAACTTGGAGATATTAAGGATCCTGGGCTTAGAAGTCCAAGCAGGAAAACAGAAGCATAGGGGAGGGGAAGTGGAGATTGGAAGATGGCACTAGTTCTTTTCAAAGGAGGGAACAGTGTGCTTTGCAGAGTAGCTCCTCGGAGCTGGCAGAAAGCACCATCCTGCTGTTCCTTAGAGATCTTTCTTGGACCACCAACTCAGGGGTCAAAGGGTCTTAGAGCTGTCTTAGCTCCTGCTTGTGTAACAAAGTACACAGATTGGGGCTTAAGCAACAGAAACGTATTTTCTGTCAGAGGCTAGAAGTGCAAAATCATGGTGTCAGCACAGCTGATTTCTTCTGAGGCCTCTCACCTTGGATGGTAGTTGTCATTGCCTTCCTGTGTCCTTATGTGATCTTCCCTTTGTACCAAGCTGGGCCTTCATCTCCTCTTATATGGACACCAGTCCTGTTGGGTTAGGGACCACAAGGCTCTTTTAACCTTAACCACCTCCTTAAAGACCTGGTGTGCAAAGGGAAAATACCAACAGTTAGGACTTTATGAATTTAAGAGTGACAGACAATGCTACACATAACAAGGAGGTGAGGTCAAGGAAGTGAAACGATGCTGCCCATTTGCTACCTCAGAGGATGGGAAGCTTGGCTCAGCTACAGAAGTTCAAGGACAGGAACTGTTGCCCAACCTTTTGGGGTCCACAAAGCTTTAGGGACCAGGTATGTAGGCTCTTCACTCATGAGGAAGC